CTATAGAATTTGTTTTTGCATAAAAATCTCACTATGAGTAAAGAGTCTTATATTACCAAGAAATGAGATTGAGATGTCCTATATATACATGAAGGACCCAAGAAACTAATAACTTAAGCTTTTGGGCTGAAGTAATGTTCAACATGTATATATAGGCTTTATGGTATGCTCCAATGGGTTTTAAATGTGATAAATCTCCCAACAAGTGGTATCATAACCTAGTTATTTTAAAATATTGATACAGAAGTAACCCAAAACAAAAATATATTTTGTTTCAGATTATAAAAGATGATACAAGTTTCATGATAAAATTGACAGCATCAAATTATTCAATTTGGAAGCTAATGATTGAGGATCATTTATCCTGCAAAGATTTATATAAGCTAGTAATTGGTGATTTAGCTAAATCAGCAAATAAAAAAGATAAAAACTGGAAGAAGTTAGGTAGAAAGATGTTAGCCACAATCAAAAAATGGGATATCAGCATATTCATTCATGTAGCGCAAGGAACATATGCCCATAACATTTGAAAAAAATTGGTAGCATTGTATGAGAGAAAAACATGAATAAATAAAGTTATACTTATTAAAAAACTTATAACTTTACAATACAAGGATGGGCGATTGACTATAGAACACTTAAGTAATTTTTAAGATATATTCAATTGAATGACTACTATGGAGCTTAAAATGGATAATGAAATGAAAGCATTATTTTTTTTTTAGATTCGTTGCCAAACAACTAGAATACTCTAGTTGTGAGTGTTCTTAATTTAGCTCTTGATTACAATGTGACATTAGAAATAGTAAATGACAGTATGCATAATGAATAAGCAAGGCAAAAAGATTCAGACTTTGGAAATCAAGCTTTTGTTACAGAGAATAAAGGTAGAACATCGACAAAGATTAGAACTCAAAATATCGCAGTAAGTTCAAACATAGATCTAAGTCCAAAGATAAAGTGAAGTATTACCATTGTGGTAAACCCAGTCATATAAAGCAATACTGTAAAATCTTGAAGCAAAAGCAAAAAGATGAGAAAGGTAAAAGTTTATATGATGGCAATGTTATAACAGTAAATTCAGATAATGATTCAATTACATTGATTTGTACACATGGTGATTGTAATCATATTGGTGATTTCGACATTGAGTGGATAGTTGACACAGGCGTAACATATAATTGTGTCTCTAAGAATGAGTTGTTTACAACTTATAAAGCAAGATACTTTGGTTGCACCAAGATAAGAAAACAAATGTGTCATAGATTATTGAGATTAAAGATATTGTTGTCCAAACTAGTATGGACTACATATTGACTTTAAGGGATGTCAAACAGATTTTAAATATGAGAAAGAATTTACTTACGAATAATGTTCTTGATAAGAAATGATATGAGAGTCGACAAAAAGAATAGACAGTGAAAACTTCTCAAATGATCTATAATAGTTACAAGAGGAAAAATATGTTACACATGGATGTAATTGAACAATAACTAAATAAATGCCGTTGAAGATAATGCTTTAGCAAATTTGTGGCACAAAAGCTGACACATATAAGCAAAAAGAGGTTATAGGTTTTGACAAAGTAATCTCTCATTTCATTGATCAAAGGTATATCTCTTGATTCATATAATTATTGTTTGTATGACAAGCATCGTAAAGTTTCTTCTTGTAAGCGTTCTTAAAGAAAATAAAATTAATTAAAATTAATTCATTCTGATGAATGTGGTTTCATTAAGGTTAAGTCATTGGATGGTAGTAAGTATTTTGTTATTTTTATTGATGATGTTTCATATAAGACTTAGGTGTATATATTAAAAACCAAAAGTCAGGGATTGTAGTATTTTCAAAAATTTTATGCCAAAATGGAAAGGATGACAGGTTTACCTTTGAAGTGTATTTAGACTAATAATGTTAAAGAATACACATCCAAAAACTTTAAAGAATACTATTCAAAGCATAGGATTAGGCATGGATACAGAACTTGGAATACCGTAGCATAATGGTATAGTTAAAAGCATAAACCGCACCATTGTGAAAAAAATCAAATTGTATATTGAGGATGCAAAATTACCAAAGCTATTCTAGGGTGAAGTAGTCAACACAACTTGTTATTTGCTTAACAAATCACCATTACTATCTTTGGACTTTGACATTCTAGAAAGAGTTTGGATAAGGAAAGATGTTTTATACTCTTACTTGAAGGTTTTCAGGTGTTAAGCATTTATACATGTACTAAAAGAACAAAGGTCAAAACTTGACAGCAAAGTCACACAGTGTGTGTTTGTCGGATATGGTGATGAGAAATTCGGCTACAAGGTATGAGATCCAGTGAAAAAAATAAAAGACAATTAGAAGTAAACATGTGGTCTTTCATGAAAAAAAAATCATATTAGACTTTAAAAAAAATGAAAAGACTACACAAGTTACTATTAAGTATAATGTTTCAACACTAACAGGAGTTTCACCAAAAAGAACCACAAATGGTGAAAATGTGCAAAGGACAGAACTTAGAGATACGAATGGGCAGCCACAGTTAGTGATGAGCCATATGTAATCAATTTTGAGTAGAAAAAATAGTCGTTTCCACATAAAATGTTGAGCAAGATAAGCAATCATCTCCATCAAAGAGTGTTGATTAGGGGGAGCTACCTTCAGCATCAAATAGTGTAGAATCTCAACTTAGAAAAACCACCAAAAAGCATAAGCCATTTACAAGGTATCTAAGTTCAAATTTTATTTTAGTTACCAATTAAAGGGAGCCAAAAAGCTTTCAAAATTTGTAGACTACTTTGGAAAAAAAGTACTAATTAAAAGCAATGAAAGAATAAATAAAGTCATTTTGAAAAAATAGTACATATGATCTTATTAAACTTTCAAAAAAAAAAAGAAGGTCATTGAAGAATAAATATGTGTTCAAGCTGAAAAACGATGATGACAAGTTAGTGAGGTATAAAGCTCAATTGGTGATGAAAGGTTTTTCTAAAAAATCTTACATCAATTTTGATGAGATCCTTTCTCCAATTGTAAAGATAAGTTACATTCGAGTGGTACTGAAATTAATAACTAGTTTGAATCTTAAGCTTAAGTAACTTTATACTAAGACTGCATTCTTGCATGATGACTTGTAGTTGAAGATTTATACGGATCAGCTTGAGAGTTTTGAAGTGAAAAAGAAAAAGCACTTAGTTTGCAAACTAAAAAAAAAAACTCGTATGGCTTGAAACAAGCTCTATGACAGTGTTACAAAAAGTTTAATGCTTTTATGGTAAATCTCAGCTATAAAATAACGATAATATATCCTTGGGTGTATGTCAAAAAATTCTCTAATGGTAACTTCATTATTCTTTTATTATATGTTGATGATATGTTGATTATGAGACAAGATACTGATATAGTTCACAGGTTGAAAGAATAATTGTCTAAGTTTTTTTACATGAAAGATTTAAGTCCAGCAAAGCAGATTTTTTATATGGATATTATCCGAGATAAGAGAGGTGAAAAGCTATGGTTGTTATAGAAAAAGTATGTTAAAAGGGTGTATAGTAGATTCAACATGCAAAATACTAAATCAATTAACAGTTCACTTGTCAACCATTTTCATTTAAGTAAGAAATCTTATTCAATAACTAAGGAAAAGCAGCTAGTTATATATAGTATTTGTTATTTTCTGTAGTTGGTTCTTTGATATATTTTATGGTTTGCACACGGCCTAACATTGCTTATGCAGTTAGTGTAGTAAACAAATTTCTTTTCTAATTCTGATAAGGTTTACTGGGAAGCAATAAAATAGATTTTTAGATATTTAAGGGGCACTTCAAAAATATACTTGAATTATGAAACTACATAACCAATTCTAGAAAGATTTACTGATGTTAACATGGTAGGTGATTTTAATGATAAAAAATCTACTTCAAGGTAGTTGTTCTTTTGCAAAAAGAGCTGTGTCTTGCAGTCTAAATTGCAAAAATATGTTGCCTTGTCAATTACAGAAGCTAAATATATTGCAACAACTGAATCATGTAAATAAATGCTTTGATTAAACGTTTTCTTCTTGAATTGGAATTGAATAAAAAATAATATATGATGTTTTATTATAGCCAGAATGCTTTAGATTTGAGTAAAAATATCATGTACTATGTTAGAACAAAGCACATTGATGTTAGATATCATTGGTTACATTCAGTGATTAAGAAACAGTAGATGCAATTAATAAAGTCCATACTAATGAGAATACAACAGATATATTGACTAAGATACTTATCAAGACAAAACTTGAGCTTAGTAGTAACTTGACTGCTGAAATAGATTCCCTATCCAAGGTAAATTCTAAATGAAACTACTATGATGATAACTTTCCTCTTAATGTGACTGAAGAAGAAGATTGTTAGAAAAGTGAAGTTTAACCTTATTTTTTTGGTTTTGACCAATTAAAGGCCATGAGCGCTTTTGCCTTAACGTGAAACAAAGCCCCACGTAATAAAAGTGTGGGTTGTGTGTTTTTGGCGCAAGAGTGAACAACGTAAAAAAAAAAAAAAAAAAAACCAAAAAGGATAGAAAAGGGAAAAGAAAGAGCTATCAATTGAACGAAAATCAATCCGTGATCCGATTGAACTAAAATTTTATTAGCAAATTCACGATTCAATATTCTACATTTTGAACGATAGAAATTGGGTTTGAAGCTCTCTAAAAAAAATTCAAAACATATTTATTGAATCATTTATATGAAAAATGTCTCCATTTATCTTTTTAATTATTAATTAGCTCTAATTTTAATTAGAGAATAACTTTATAAATCCATTATTTAATGATAGAGATTTTTTTGGTGATTCATAATTTTTTCCTTTTACACTGAAAATTTTTTCAAATAAATTTTAGTGTGCTTCATTTTTTTATATTTTAAATTATTGATTATTATTTATTACTATAAATTTATTGTAATATATTACTTTTACATTATTATATTTATCGCTTTAGTCCAACAATAAGCAGGTATAACCAAGCCTAGAACGAGCCCTTCTCTTCTTATAACTTTTCCTGTTTGAGATTTGATCTCATTCCTTCTTTGTTTCGAACCTATTACCTGAAGAGGTTACGGGTTTTTATAACTTTGGCTGACAGGAAATGTGATTGTTGCAATGCAGGATTCTGGATAGATAGTACTAATACAACTGTTTAAGGAACCAGACTGCTCACTTGACACCATCCTGCTGACTAGCATCGGAAACCAGGTCCTGAATCCCCATATTAATCAGTGCTGAAGACCCGGTTCCAGAAGTCGAATAGTTTGAAGGTTACCTGCACAAGTGACCCAGTTCCATGAATGTACCTGGATTTTCAGTGGCCAGTTTTCTACTGTCAATATCCTCATTGTTAATTGCCCCAGCGGCAAGTATTAAAACGCCAAAAGAATAATGGCGAAAACAAAGAGCAGCAATAGATTATGAAGCACCACCAATAACAATACTTTACCCATTTAAATGTAAAATATATGCTCCTCCTCGTCCTCGTCGTCATCGTCGTCTCTCTACCAATTTTTCAGTGTTAATTTCTTAGTTAATAGGTCCAAGCACACATAAACAATGCAATCATTTCCTTGGCACACATAAAAAAATACAGATAAATCCACGAAAAGAGAGAGAGAGAGAGAAAGGAAGATGTGGGACCAATGGGAGAATGGTCACCTCTCAGCTGATCAGCTTTCATACAAGTCTCTACAAATCTTGGAGGAGGTGGCAAAAACTGGAGGTACAAATCTCTACAAATACAAATCCATTACAAGAAGAACCAGAAAGAAACTGAAAAAAAAAAAAAAGTACTTGGAAAACTAGAACAACTAACTGCACAACTTTTTCTCAATTTTCTTTCATCTCAAATACAAAAAGATTGTAGCCTATTCTTTTTAATTTAAGGATGTTCCCCACTTATATTACATGCAAAGCAATGGTCAAAGACGCATGTAATATCACTGCTTCATTATTTCAAATGAATATTACCATCATTAAGTGCTGGAATATTCTAAAAGATGGTATGTATGCAGAAGCACAATACCCTACACTGTTCTCTTTGGAGCACGAACAGCTGCAAGATGGTCCTGCAAAACAGAAACCAGATACAAGATTAACAGAGGTGTCATCAGTTAACAGAGGTGTCATCAACAAACATACTAACTTCAAAACTGAACCATATCTCATCTGATTTCATTCTTATGTCATATTTAAAAAAGAAAAGAAAGAAAACACAAAGAGAGAGAGAGAGGCAGAGACATTTGTCAAGCAAGGTTCGGCAAGTATAACCAGCATATGTGATGCAGGATAATAGAGAATTGAAATTGGTGCGCTCCAAGAAAAGATTTGTGTGAGAAAGGTTCTTCTCAAACAGAAAACTGCTAAAATAAGAGACTTAAGTTATATGACAAGTATGGGCCCTGTTAAGGAGGGTGCTGCCATCTGAACAAGGTTACATGCAAAGTAATGCAGTGAATTATGGCCTCACTGGGCATAAAAAATAAAACAAGTAAAAGCATTCACAGGTTAAAATGGTTTGGCCCATGAAACAAGACAAGTCACTCAAACAGGTGGAATTAGCACTTTTAACATATGAATGAGTACCTGATGCTCCAGACTACATGCAAATACAATGGCGAAGCATAAAAAATACAAGATACTACATTTTTTCATGAGAGATTTCACAAGTTCAATAGCAAGTTATTATTTATCTCTACATCTGGTATCCAGCATAAACTGCAAACCTTGACTAATTTCTCACTTGCCACCTTTGAAATGCTGTTATGGCTGCCTAACTAGTGGATAGAGTAATCATGAAGAAGTTTTTAACACCTAAATACCCGGCAGAGATAATTAGAATAGACCACTGGCAGAGTGGGTATACCTTGAAATTAAACTTAGAATAACATGTAGCAAGAGTCACTAGAGAAACAGCAGAAGTCATTACAAACAGAGACAGGGTTGACAGGTAACTAAAGGTTCTAAAATTTTGCTTCTCCCACTTTCCAGCACCCAAGGAAGCACCATCCTATTGAGCTGGCATATCTAATAAACGACAATCTGGGGTAGGAACTCATTAATTTTGACATGTCATGGAACAATTACTTCAAGAATGTAACATATTATGAGAGGAAATTCGTATAAGACTACTTTAAATAGTATATGCTACAACTTAAACTTACTGAAATAAAATCAAATGCTCTGGAGTCCTCTTTCTTTGAACTGTTCATCATTGAACTAGGCGTTTGAGTTGGAAAATTTGACTGGAATATATCAGGCAGAGGAGATCCTCCATTAGATCCACTGGAAACATGATTGATGCCAGTATTTTGGGCATTAAGATTGCCAAAGTGACGTGAGTTAGACATTGTTGCAAGAAATTGCTGCTGAGCAAAGAAACTCCCCATAGCACCATAATTCATAGGTTGAGAAGAAAACGCTGGGTTCAACATTATTCCAGGAGTAATGGCATATGGCATGGTCCCTATAGGAAACATCGGATTTGCATTCATCCCAGCAGTTTGAGAACCAAGGATACCACTCAAAGCATCATTAGAAGCATGATAGCTAGTATGAGTGTTGACATTGGCAAATATATTTTCAGGGTACGCCTCAGAAGAGATTCCCTTCTGCTTCAAATTAGATGGATTCTCATTCATTGACAAGCCAGCCATTATATCATTAACAGCATTTTTTTTATTCTCTGGCTCCAATGGAGCTTCAGAATTGGTCCAAAAGATATCAATTTGTTCAGATTTTTTATTTGCAGCCATATAATTACCATTGATGACAGACTTGTCATCTATAGTCATCCCGGAGAAGAGATCGTCCACATTCTCTCTACCCTCACCAGTGTGAAATGAGACATCTGAAAATGGATCTTCATCACTTTTCTGTTCCCTGCCGCTGAGACCAGCATCCAGACTATCTCCAAATAAGTCATCAATAAGCGGAGTTGCTGTTAGATTTGCAGTGTATTCATCATGTTGGTTTTTTGTGGAATTATCGAGTCCATTATAATCATCTGGATCACCAGTGTCAATCAGGTCAGGCATTTGAACATATGTGCTATCAGCCTTCAAAGACTTTTCTGAATGACTTGCCAAACCACCTGTCTGTTCCCCATTCAAGAGGATCAACACCTGTTTACCAAGATCATGTATATGTCAACAGTAGTATTTACTTCATTAACTCAGAAAATAGTACCCCTACCAGCTCTAATTTAGCATTTAGAGTACATAATAACTATTCAAAGTCATATAACATTAAGGACATAACGTTGAAAGAAATAAAGATTAAACACAACAATCATACAAAGATCATGAATATAGTCATTTATGCAGAAGGGTAATCAAAACAACGGAACCGAAACATAATGTGACATTTGTCAGGAACCAACCCTAAAATATCTCAATTTATAGGTTTGAACAAAAACAGAAGCAAATCAATCTGAAGGGTCAATTTCCAATTTTGTACTGATGATTAAGGGGGGAAATTTAGGTAGCATCCAAAACTTAATGTAATAGACAGCAAAAATTTCCTAGATTTTTTTTATTTATAAGAAGAAATTAATACACTACATCAACTTAAATTTGTATAAATATGCCATCAGTAAATGCAAAACCTTAATGAACTCAAACAGGAGGTAAAGTTCAATCAGTTTTCCTACACTTTATCATAAAACCAAAATACAACCAACATTTAAAAAGAATTTTTAAATGAAAATTTCCATATCCATAAAAGCAAGTTCTCAAACCTGAGTTAGATGAAATTTCCTTTATCCCCCAAGACATCAGTTTACACAATTAGAGCTTAGTATAGTTGCTTAGCAAAACAAAGGAAAAAAAGAAAAAGAAAACCCGACAAGCATGCCACCAAAAATAATTCTCTGGGCTGGATCTTAAACTGTAACAAAGACGATATTTTTATCTTTCTGATTTTTTTTTTTGGCCAATATCTTTCTGATTAAAAGCAATACAAAGGGTCTACCAAGATATTTACCTTGTTAGCCTTTTCTCTAAGAGAAGTTTGGGGAGACTCAGAACATCTCAAAACAACATCTTTGTTCTCGGTAAAATAAGAAGCCACAACTAGAAAATGCTCATCTTCCTTTTTCCTCATAATGGACTCAAGCACACACAGAGCTTTCATGCGCACCTGACCATCAATAATTCTGGTTAAGTTTAAAAGAAAACTAAAAACACAAATACTCCATTCATTGTTTTGAAAAGATATCAATATAAAAATTATCACCGATATGAAACATTATCATGTAATAAGAACAGTGTGCCGACAAGAACGGCAAAGTGGTTGAGGGGATAGCTGTTTGAGTAGATAGCCTAGGTTTGAGCTAAGTACCTGCCACCCCACCACCAACCCCAGTGGCCTTGTCATCGCATGATTCAATAAATAGGAGCAAAGAGTTACCTGCCACATTGGAGATACAAGCTTAGATTCAAGGGCATGACTTAAGGCCAATGCATCAAGCTTTGCAGCCTCCACAAGGAAAGCGTGAATGGCTTCTCGAGTAGGTTGTAGACGTATACCACCCGATGTCACTATGGTTTCCAACAGTCTCTCCTCACGAGTTTTAGTCTCTGAATAATTTGAGCTGGATTCCCCATTTGTTGTTTCTGTCTTTAATACTCTTGAATCATGGCCCCAAGGTCCACTAGCAGTATTCTTGGAAACCTCTTTACTGTCATTGCCCAATTCAACTGGTTCATACCTATCAGAATGGTCAATTTCTGTAGTCAATGACCTTCGAAGTGTAGGACTCTTATAGCTTCCATTATCATTCTTTCTAAGAGAATGACCTTGAGTGATACTACTGATTCCCTGCTTGATAGATGCACTTCCAATACCAACAACCTCACTTAGAAATGATTTCTTATCATCGGATGGCATTTCAAAGTTTGTGTTCCCAAATCCTTGTATTCGTCGGTTAAGGTCATCTGTAGGCGAAGGCTTACTATTATTATTGTCCTCTGCAAATATAGCAGAAATAGCCTCATGTGCTGTGTCCCGTACAGCCTTATTGAGTGCATCCCCCTTCAAAGGATCCGGCTGCCCCTTGTAATGAAATAACTGACGCACAGCAACTGAGTTCCTCTGCATCTCTCTCCTAAACTCTACACCAGACTTTCCCACTGCATATTTTATCAGCCTCAAAGCCTGCAAAAATCCCACTACCAACTGAGAATCAACATGTTTTGATAATTTATAATTATAGGATACAATTTTCCCACACGTTAAACATTCAATAATTCAGAACATTCACAAAACAAAACTTCCTCGCCTTTCAAGAATATTAGGCTCTTCTCATTGTTATTGTTTTCACTTGCCTTTTGCTTTTATTTTTGTTTATATACAAAATAAAAGTAATACTTTGCTACTGCTATTTAACTACTTAAAACCTCTGTTAAATTATTCGACCATTACTTAACTACTTGACCAAATTGAGTTAAATTTTTCACTTTTTTATCTTTTTACTTTTCCAGCCAATATTTCTCGGCCAAAACAACAAAATGATTAGAATTTTCTAGATTTAACCAAACTGAAACAAAATTCAAAGCGAATTTAATGAAATAACCTTTTGCTTGACTATGGGGCTTTTGTGATCGAGTCGTTTCAAGATAAATTCGGAGACCTCTTTCACAATACTAACATGCGACGATCTCAAGAGCTCGCAGATCTCTTCTAACTTATAAACGGGCGTTACTTTGTCTTCATCGGAGGTAGCCCCATCGATCATCCGCGATCTCCAATATGATTCAACCGCTCGCCTGCTAGAATCCATTTTCGAAAATCGAAAAAGAAACAGCAAAAGCCCCCAAATTTTTTTATAGAATTGAAGGGTTTAAGATGGATCTATTTGCTTGATTGGTTGATTGAAAAGAAGAGAAATTGTTGAATTTCGATTGATTGGAACTAATAGGGGAATTGAATGGGATTCTATTAGGTTTTTTCTTTTCCTCTAAGAATTAGGAAAAGAGCAAGAGCGAGAAACTGAAAACTGCCAAACGTAGACTCAGGGAGAGAGAGAGAGAGAGAGAGAGAGAGAGAAGACAGATTTTGGTTATTGGAAGAATACAGGTCAGCTGGTGAGTGGTGACTCAGACCTGTGTGGCTCACGTTGTTAATTTTGGTCTTTGCCACTTGCGCATAGCTGTTAATAAGGGTTTGCATGTTTGGGCCCGGCCTTTTCCTTAAGCCCAGTTTGAGTTAGTTCATTAACTAAACAACTCATTTTAAATTATTTTTAATTATGAAAAATTATTTCCTTTCCATTTTGAAAAAGCATAAATTATGATCAAATTTTACGTTTAATAAAAAAAAAAATGTAAATAACATTGAATTGCCCTTTTCTTTTTTTGGTCTAAATCCTACTCGCCTACTTGATATGACTCACTTCTGGCGTAAATAATTTTAAATATTATAATAAATAATTATTTATTAAATAAATTATAAAATAGAAAATCCCGAAAAGAAAAAGAGAATTGAAAGAAGTTTTTGTGTGAATAAAGGTTTTTAGACTTACTTTAGAAATAAGGAATCGTTAGAAATTGAATCCAAAAAGAAAAGAGAGAGAGAGAGAGAATTGAAAGAAGAGAAATCGAGAGATGAAGGAGCCGTTGCGACGTACGAAAGTGGTGATAAGGCATCTGCCACCGTCAGTCACCCAATCGTTTTTCTTCTCTCAAATCGACGATCGTTTCTCTGATCGTTACAATTGGTTCTCCTTCCGTCTCGGCAACTCCAGGTTAGGGTTTCTAACTTTTATTTCCCCAATTTCTAATATTCCCTTCATTTGCTTTATTTCTTTTTTCTTTTATGGAATTATTTCAGTTTTGTTTTTCTAATTTAGTTCCTCAGCAATCAAATGGAGCAAAATTTGTGATTGCATTGTTGAATTTCTTAGTTGTGCCTCTAAAGATTCATATTTGATAACTTTTTTTCTTCTTTTTATTTTTTATTTTTAATTCTCAAAACGCTTTTGCAGCCATAAGCATCAGAGTTACTCTCGAGCCTACATAAACTTCAAGAGACCAGAAGATGTCTTCGAGTTTGCTGAGTTCTTTAATGGGCATATATTTGTTAATGAGAAGGGTATGTTATGGTTAAATTTCTGATTCTTTATGATGTTTATCAACTGCAGACACGTTTTTCTTGTTTTAGAGGACAGCTTATGTGATTCTTACTAAGTATGTGAAACACAACTGTTGTTTGCATTTATTCAATTTTATTGTAATATGTTAATTTCTTCTTCTCTGAGTTTAATTTACCCATTGGTCCTTCTATTCTATCGTATCATTTTGGTGCCCCTTGTTACAGGTACTCAATTTAAGGCCATTGTTGAATATGCTCCTTCACAGCGTGTCCCAAAGCCAGGGACTAAAAAAGATGGTCGTGAAGGGACCATTCTCATAGGTTCATTTTTTAAAGGAAAAAAGTTTATTGTTAGGCATATTATTTAATGGGAAGCTTTTGCAACTAATATTGAAGTGACTCTTATGGCTTGTTATCTTGTACTAAATCTTCTTTTTCTTTTATGAAACTAGATCCTGACTATCTGGAATTTCTCAAACTGATTGCAAAACCTGTTGAGAATCTTCCTAGTGCTGAGATTCAGTTGGAGAGAAAAGAAGCAGAACTGTCTGGTTAGTTATGATAGAAGGAATAACAAATTGTGAATTCTAGTTAGAGTTTTTGTCACCCTAATATGAGTGTGATTTCTTTGGTCCCACTTTATTCTTTCATAGGTGCTCCAAAAGAAACCCTTGTTGTTACACCACTAATGGAATATGTGCGTCAGAAACGAGCTGCCGAGAGTGGAACTCAGGTATTTTACCTTGGGAAAGGATGCAAGTTTATATCATCATGGTGCCCTTTTCCCTGTTCATATGACGCTAAGTTATTGTGTGCTTTCAACTTTTCATTAACCTATTTTGTTATTTTTAGCTCATTGAGCTTGCACTACTTTGTATGATCCAACTTTGTTAAAACATGATGGGCATATAATTGACAGGAGAAGGTATTTGCATGGTTTCCTTTCCTGTTAAATTTCTACATGAATTATTAGAATCCAATTTGACCAAAAATTGTCCATGAGACATCAGTCACACATGCTGCAGTCTAATATGTTAAGTGATGCTGCCCTTGGTGACTATATCCTCGAGATCTGTATGCTTAAACTTGTGGCCCAGAAAAAGGAAAAAGAAACAAAAAATGAATTAATAAGTAGTCTTTGAGTGGCCACCTTTTAGTTTGTTTTGATGACAGGGGTCAATCATCCTAAGAAAGGTTGGCAGAAAAGCTGCTGCTGCATCTACAGGCAAGGCTGGATCAAGTAGCAAGCGTGGCTTTGGGAAGAAAAAGGTGTCAATAGCTTTCTTATTTATTTTATTCCTGGATATCTGAGCATATGATAGCTTTCTTATTTATTTTATTGCTGGATATTTGAGCATATGATACTTTGCTACTTCTACGTAAACCTTTCAGTACTTTTAAAAAATAATATCTTCTCATTGTGACTTTTCTTGTTAAGGTTACCCTACTGGTTAATCGGATGCCTTTTATTTGTACAAGAGCATAGCTTTTACTTCTCTGGATCATCTTCTGTTCTTAGTTGATGTTTATACTTTTTTCCTCCCTATGTGCAAAGATTATTAGCAAGCACCTTAAGGAGGCATTTACAGTGGAATAAGATGTGAAAATAGGCTGGTTTCTGAAATTTGAAACGTCTTGAGATTCCTTTGGAAAATGCCTTTAGGATACTATCTTAGGAAGGTTGGGTTAATCTCCAAACTTCCAAGCTTTAGGCTTTGCTTGGTAGGAAGGATAGAAAGGGGTGAAGTTGGGAAAATCTTTTAATTTAACGGTTAGGTTTCATAATTACTTTCCTACTTTATAGTTTAACCATTGGATTAAATTTTTTTTTCATCCTTACCCATTTCTATCCTTCCTACTAAGCAAAGGCCTTAAGGTAAGAATGTAAAGAAGTAGATATAGAAAGCGTACACCAGTGACACTATTAAGAGAATGAGCTATATCTTAGGCACCTGAAGCTCTGGACTATCATAAATGCTTCACATAGGAGATGAAAGGGATGACTTTTAGAATGAATTTTGATTATATCCTTGAGTCTAACAGACTGCTGTACCCAGAGGAGAAAAGACTCTTTTCAGTGAGGCGACTTCTTTCCCTGTTTGTCATTTGGCTCAAAAGATTTTTCATTTTTAGTACCTAAATAAAGCAGATCCCGTATCAGTAAAAGACAGTGAAGCCGGCCCCCACTTTATTATTCTTATCCACACTGCTTAACCAAGAATAATTTTCTCTTGATAAAGGAGACTGAAGTGTCCTATTTGATTTTGCTTTCTGTTATGCCTCCCCTTAAGAAAGAAGAAATTTGTTAGAGACATGAAGAAAGGTAAAATTATAATGATATCAATGAAAACTTAATAGAGAAGAAGGCCTTTGCTTGCACCAACTAAGCTAAAGGTAGATTGAGGTTCAATTAGTCCTGAACTCTATGACTCTGATTAACGAGCAAAATTTTCTATAAATATGAAAGGTTGTGCAGTTTGTTATAGTTTCCTATTATTTCTTTTTGAAACCAAAGGTTTGAAAATTATCTAAAAACGGAAGTTATACCTGTCTATGTGCTTCTATCAATTTTCTCAATCTTCTATTGGCTTTCCTTCTCTGCAGTGGAACTTAAGAAGAAAACTCTCCTCAGATGTCTTGCTTTCTTGCAAAACTGCTAGTATTTTAATGTCATTGTTATTTGTTGTTTAATTTTGAAGTACTATTTTTAGAAACTGCGTAACTTATAAAGAATATAACTTGAGTAACAAATCATTGTAGGAAATTTTGTATGGAGTTTTGATATTCTAAAATATTATTTTCATTGCCTCTCTTTCATATGGAGCAATTTTAAATGATCCTTTACAATGATAATCTGTGCATTTGCAATTTTTGAAGTTGGATGGTTGTTATTTTTCTCATTCAAGGAAACTTGTTTGATTGACAGTATATTCTAAAAGACAGTGCAAAAGGTGCAAAGAACTCCAACTTTTTTGTAGCATCCAAGGAAGAGGATCAATCAGTGACTTCTGTTGCAAAAGAAATAAGAGAGAATGGAACTGGTGAGGGTTTAAACAGCCTTTACAGAGGTTTATGATCCACATAGAGCTATATCAGCATCATTAGCATTATCATTGTGACTATTTGTTTTTTAACATAAAGCAAGATACGGCTCTAAAGAAAAAAATAAGTTATTTATTGATTTTTCAAATAAACAAGACTCATGCTGTTCTATAGTGCATTGCTGGATTAACTTAATATAAGTTTCTTTGAGTGTTCGAAATTGTTGCAAGCATGTGTCTCTTGTTTTGTGTCAATAGACATCTCATAAAATGGTTTACTAGAACGCTTAGCATGTTTTTCATGAGTGTGTTTTATTGTGAATCTAATTGTAGTGTTTCAGAAAAGTACTGTTTTACCCTTTACCTTTCATCAATGGTAATGCCACCCATTATTTTGCATTTAATTTTGGCAGTGATCACCCTTCTGTTTCATAGATCTTGTACTTTTTGATTGATCATCAAGAAAAATAAATCAGTATGAGTTTGATAATTGGTTTGAAATACAAGAAATCAAACATTTATTACTCCAGATGATCCCCAATAGCAAGGATGTGGCTCTTAACCCCATGCTACTTGGAGATCAGAGAGTTATTTACCATTGTACTGATTTAGCGGACCCATGGAACACTGATATAATGCTGCTGCAAGTTTCTTATAGTGCCATGCAAAGGGACTACAATGAAATTTTCTTTAATCAAGGCCCCCATGGTGGAGCTTTAGGTCAACCTGAGTTCATACTTTAGAATACGACTCGTCTATATTTTAAGCAGCTGAGGTGAAGGTGTGAAATAATGCTGACATTTTGTCTTTTAACTATTTATTATACTGGAATAAGTGCAAGAGCCACATATTATTCTATTTGCACTTAGTTTTGAGCGTGTGTATATATATATTTAAGTTGATGGTTTATTCTCTCTCTGGACTTCGGTTTGAATTATCTTCTTTCATTTGACTGGATGTTGGTGACATATTAAACACCTTAGATTGGAGGTTGTTTTGGTTCTTAACTTTTCTTTTTCGTTGTATTTCCTTCCCCCATGTTTTTGCTTAATTAGTTGCATTGCAGTCTGTGGCATTGATGGTCATGTAACAGGAATCACTGTTTCTGCTAATTCTGGGAAGAAAAAGATCCTGCTTCTAAAACCAAAAGATCGAGAGCTTCCTCATGTAAGATATTTGCCTTTAGTTTGTCTCTCTTCCGCTCAGTCATGGTGTCCATTGTCAGCTATATTCAAGTTTTACGTATGCTGGGCTGAGAATTGTTTTATATGTGCTTATGGAGTTGATTTTTTAATTGGTCTTTTCAAATTTTGGGATGCAAATTATGATCTCCTTTCAATTTCCTAGGTGCCAGATGGTGTATCTGATCAGCATGGGGCATCATCTCCTGTAGTAAATTCACCTGGTTCAACTGCTCCAAGACAGGGTCAAAGACGTGAGGCTGGTGGAAAGTTAATAAGGAGCATACTTTTGAGTAATGAAGCGGGCCAAAATCAATCTTCAGCAGCAGTACAGCCTCAGCAGAAAACTCAAACTATGAGTCTGGACAATGTCAAGAGACCTCCCCGGCCAACTAATACACGATCAGGTATGAATGGTCATGTCTCAAATGAAATGCCTGCATTAAAATCTGATGCTGGTTCAAAAAGAGTTTCAGATGGTAAGTTCATCAAAAAGGGTTCAGGTTCTGGAAGTGAGAAGCATGAAAAACGTACAAGAAATAAGGATAGACCTGATCGTGGTGTATGGGCTCCTCTTCATCGTTCTGATGTTTCACAAGCTAGTGAGGAGCGCCTGACACCCTCTGTGTTGCAATCTGCACGGGCCTCTCGTAATTCCATGGAAGGTATTAATGCTTCTGCACATGAATATATGGTGTTTGCAAGTCTGGATAGATTTGAGATACAATTCTTGTATCAAGTTGTTCTGTTTGAATTTACAAGAAATGAGGAAGCTAATTTACCTTGCTGTCTGCCTATGATCTTCCAGTTACCGAAGGAGAAATGAAAGTCGACATACCTAATGGAAGCAGTGGACTTAATTTTCTGTCAGAAAATGGTTAGTCTGTCTATAATTAATTGATTCAGTATTGTTGTCACATGCAATATTACTAGAATGTCATATTGATGATACCATTCGTGCAGGCTTCAATAGACATTTGGGTTGGCGCCCAGCAGCCTATAATATCAAGGATGATGGGTCTGTCATATCAAGTGAGGGCAAGTCTTCCAAAAGGGGAGTTGCTACTAGCTCTGGAACCAATGAGGTCAGCAAAGTTGTGTTGAATCAGCTTCAGTATCTGTCATCTTTTATTGACCTTTGGTTGTCATGTTCTTTTCTCTTTCTCTTTGCAGAAACAAGTTTGGGTTCAGAAGTCATCTTCAGGTTCTTAGAGAATCTAACTAAATTGGTAAGCTCCTTCTGTATTTAATTCCATTAAATTAGTTGATGAATTTTCTTAGCCCATGTTTCTGTAACTTGGTTTTCTTTCTGGGCACGTGAAACTAATTCATAGTAGCACTATATTGTTCTGGGATTATTATTTCTTGTTTTATTGATTTACAGGCTTTTGGAGCGCGTTCCTTTCTCCCAGTGTTGGGGTTCTTATCTTCTCCTGTCATGTTCCTATGACTTGCAACATTATTTGCCTTGTTTGGGTTTGCAATAGCTGTATTCTCCAGAATATGTTCTTGAATAGTCCTTACCTGGTAGTAGATTAATTCTCTTATTGGACTGTCAAGAGCAAGCATCGGCGACCAATCGGGCAGGAATATATTCCGTGTGGTCTACATTGGGAAAGAAGTGACTGGATCAAGAATAATGCTGATAATCAGTGGTGTTGCTGGAAGGGGAGATTCTGCTGGACGGTGCTGTGGATTTTTTTTTTCTTTTTTGTTGAATGATGCAATGCAAGGTTTTTAGTAGTTTACTTGAATCGTATTGGTCTTTGCTTTTGCTGGATCTTCCATAGGTGGATATTCTTATTTTGGTTTTCTGTATATATGTTCTGTCCAAGAACATGGTGCTGCCTCTAAAATAAGTTTTAGAAAACGGGTCGAAGTTTTTTTTTTTTTTTTCTTTTGATTTATATTTTCATTCAGTTTTAAACAAATTTCAAGAAAGTGGGGCATGAAAAAAGGGCTATGGTGTACCATGAAATGAAACAAAGAATCATTCTAATGTGTTTGCCGTCCGTACTTATGATTAATCAAAAAATTTGCGTTACTTGAAAACATGCAAATTACAAGAGATTAACAGCAATCTCTTTACTGCAAGAAGAAAAGAATAAATTACAGACAGGTGGCTCTTGTGTTGTACATAAAATTAACTGCCTGTCTTGTCTTCTTTCTGAAAATAGAAATATAAAAGATCAAAGAATAACCAGTTTTTCTTTTTTATCTGAAAATTAAGCTAAGGAATCTGAACAATTTCTACTAAAATTTTGTGAAGCGAATGTGGCTTTGAGAAGAATGGGCAGTGGTCACTCCCTTTAATCTTGAAAACTCCTTCAGGCGGGTTTTCTCTTACTAGCTTCTCTTGCACATCTGATGAAAGAGCATGATCTTCCAATGTCTGAATGTAGAAGCGCCGCCCGGTTTCGTACTTCTCAGGGGACAATGACAGTTTCTCCATGATAGGACCTAGTGGGGTAGGTCTCATGGAAACCATGGCCAAAGCAACATCCTGAAAGGAACAACAATATGGTTCTTTAAAATGGCTACAATAAATCAAGTACTTCTTTGGGTTCTCACTTTCATAAATGATGATCAGTCCACGATTTTCATACAGTATCTAACAATACAGCATACATGCACACAGCATTTAGACTCTAGACGGTATAAATGTTCAACCCAAAATGTATCATCAATAAGTATGGTATGCTTCATAAGAAAAAAGGATGGAAGACCCAACTCAAATTATTTTGTAGTCAGAATTTATATTTGCATATATTTATATGTATAGACTAATGAAATGACTAAGCTTAACCGTATAAGATGTTTTGACACCACATAAAACTAAATAAAGCTTCAAAGAATTCTCTGGTGGTCTCATTTGATCATTTCCATAGAAATTGAATTTAAAACGGATAACCAGTGTCCAATGTTCTGTTGCAAGAAATGAATAACAGAACAATGAATTCAAAACATATAGCATGAAAAAGAGTTTTTTTTTATAGAGAATTATGCAAAAGAGGAGATTCTGCAATGAGAAAAAGGGGATGGCCTGAATTTTCAAGGTTTGCTAATATGATGCTCTTGACCAGTAAGGCTGTAACATACCTTTGTTGGCGATTGATTAAAATATAACCCTTTTATCAGCTGTTTCTCAAACATGAAACCTGTAGGAGGCTTATCTTGGCCATTTCCATAAATAAAAAACTGTGACTCTTGCATGAAATGTTCAGCAGAACCAAGCTGCAATAAAAAATTTTCCATGAGCCTATGTAAACCAGATAATTAAGAGAAATGAAAACTGTGAGACAACTTTCACTACAAAGATTCAGTAATAAGAACTACCAAGGTTGGAATAAAATTGATTCTTTGACATGTTTGGTCAATAGTCCATGACAAAAATACCACGGCAAGATGATTGTTCTTTCCAGGTATGGCTGACAGGAGAAAGAGGATTCATACTGGAAATAAAAACTTGATTTGCAGGTCCAAACTTTCTGTTTATTTCTTAGCTAAATAAATTTAAGTGGTTCCAAGAATAAAAAAAACATTATATAATAACATAAAGGGAAAATGGTAACATGTTTGTTATTCTAATTTGTGATGTTTCTTTTATTTAGCTCAGAAGAAAATACATACTAAATTTGTGATGTAATTATAAAAGCTAACATTTAATGGAACACGATGTAATTACTTGACGTACAACAATTGGCAGCTAGGCATTGATAAAATACCTCTTCAGCAAAGACATCAAAAGGTCTCTGACCATTAGACACCATTGTAGCACAAAGGAAAATTGCTTTGGAGATCTTCTCTGGGAAACACTCCAATGCATATGAAAGGCATGCACCTCCGCTGCTGTGACCGACCAAAATAACCTGCAAATAATTCATAAATCAAAATAGGCAAAGGCTTTTTTAGATGAATAAAACTCATGGTACAAATCTACCATCTTACCTTCTCATCTTCAGGAAGGTTCTCTAGATAATGGATCAATGGTTTTGAATATTGTGCCAATGTAGTGACAGTGTTTGAATCTGTTAGATCAATACCAGAGCCCGAGAGATCCAATGCAGTAGGCAGAAGGCCTACTTCCTCCAACTGAGCAATGGTTTTGTACCAACACCAAGCTCCAAAGCCTTCTCCATGTATCAGAATAATTCTTTTAAACTTGACATTTTCAAGAGATTCCGATACCTGCAGAGAACATGAAAATAATATTAGACATAACTTTATAGAAATGGGTTATAAGTTGTAAAAATATTATACTACTACAATTATATCTATTTCAATGTTTTTTACACCTCAGGATTTACTTCCAACAGAAATTGTCTCCTAGGTATAGCTTTCATAGGGTTTATCACTGATCTTTTCACCAGCCTTCATGACAATGTTCCAAATCCTGATCATCATAGCACAACAGAATAAAAAATGCTTTTGAAATTCCCTTTCAAAAAACAACTGAAAGAAAAGTGACTCATGTGGGCTTATAAAGAGCTTCACATAGATCATAACAAAAAGTGCATATCATGAGATCCCTTCTTTATCTTTTGTTCAAAATTAAAATAAAATAAAGCAGAAATGATCTGTTTATCTTCTCAACTAAACTGTATTAGAGACTAAAGAACTAACTTGAAGATATAGAATTGCTAAGTGCTAAAAGCACAGTGAATCAGTTACATATTTTGCCGGGTTCTCCGTTTTAAGTTTTCCAATGAAAAGCAAAAGAAGATTGACCATTGACTAATGCTGCTTTCCAACATGATTAATAACATTTTCTAACGTTTGCTCTTGTTTTACAATCAATCATCAAAACTCCACTTTTTCATCATAGATCCAATCAACTAAAACAGTAATTATGAATTTATGATTACACATGAAAACAAAATAAGGAAAGCAAAGGTAAGTAATTTAATAAGAAACACCTTTTTTTCATTATTAGCTAATGAATCAGAGTGTCTTCTAGGACTGGTAGAGCCAATCCTCCTAGACATGGATCCATCAAATCTCTGAGACAATCGGTGCTGATGAAGAGCCATAGACAAAGCTTGCCTATGCAAAAACTCTTCTTCTGCAAGCATTTTCCTTTGAGACCTCCCAATTCTCTTGCTTCTTGATCCATTATCTTTGGTATCTTTCTTTGTCCTGCAAATGAAGCTATTACCCATTATTCAGAAGAACTCAAACAAGCTAGTTTTTTTAACACTACCCAGGAAGCTTAAGGAGCATTTCTGCCAGAAAAGTGGTAAAAAGTCGAGATTTTCCAGGAAAGATAGGTTTTTTAATGAACGGAAAGTGGCATAAAGATAGTAATATTTGTTTTCCCTTTCAGCTTTAAGATTTTTTTGTACTAATTATATAAAGGTAATAAATGCAAAAGAGAAAAAAAATGAGAAGAAGAAAGAGTTGGCAGAAAGAGGTTATAAATGAAAAAAAAAAAAAAAACAAAAATGTTTGAAACAGCTCCTTGAGTCGAAGAGCCAACTGAATTTAAGTGCTATTTATTGTTTTTGGAAACTATTTTCTTTCAATGGTAGGAGACTTTCAATGCTTTGCTTTTTCTCTCTCTTTAGAAAATTGTAGACTTTCTTTTTCTTTTTTTTTTTCTGTTTGTTGACCGTTGGATTTTGGGGTCTTCCAGTTTTGCTGGTAACTACTGTTAAGAACATGGAGATGTGAAGAGTCTGGTGCGTGAAAGTGGGAGAGAGATACGTCTTTCAGATACAGTTTGTTTCGGTTTAATCACTACTTATTGTAATTCTTAAAGCATAAGAAGATTTGTAGTTGGAAAAAGATTTAGTCCAATCAATTAGTTCATTCTGTTTTGATTGTCAGTGATCTTGGGTTTGTTAGAACATTCGCTTGTGATTGAAATAATCTATCTGTTTCAGCTTTTTGAGTCTTGAAAATTGAAGTAATTTGTCTGTTCTGATTTTTTCTATCATGTGGGAGAAGTTTTCTCATTAAAAAATAAAAAACAAAAAAAAAAACAAAAGAAAAGACCTTAGCAATTGACATTATAACTAGATTTCTCTTTCTCATGTGGCAGAAATAAGGATTTAGAAGTATAAATTTAAAGAAAAAAATTCAACGATGTGGAGGAGGGTGATTTTTCAGCCCCTAAAAGTTGTTGCTATCCCATGTGGGAGATTTTGTCACTAAACCAATGAAGGCTACACCTCGGCAAGGAGAATTCTTTCGGATGTTAATTTTATTCATATTTAATAAAAATTTTAATTTTTTATTTAAATAAAAATTATATTATAAAAATAGAAATAGAGATATACATGATTTTAATTTTTTTATTAAATATAGGGATAAAAATAAATAATAGAGCATTGATCACATATTCATACCCATATTATATATATATATATTTCGTAAATAAATTTTGTATTAAATAATATAAATTATAATTTTGAGATTAATTAGAATTAATATATTTTTATTAAAATATATATTAATATATATTTTAAAAATTACATAAATATGAAAGATAAAAAACTTTTAAAAAAAGCTAAAAAAAATTAAAATTTAGTTTTTATTTTTTTAAGCTATAGGTATGAAAATTATCATGCTTATTAAATATTCGCAAAGATAGAAATAGATATAGATTTGAAATACCCGTTGAGTATAGTATGGATATAAGTATGGAAATGAGTACAATATAAAAATTTGAAGATGAAGATAAAAAATCTCTTATCATCTTATACCTTATCTATTGACATCTTTATCCATCCCATCTTTTTCAACTAAAAGAAAAAAAAAAGGATTTAAAATTCTAACTATATATTAGTTGATATTAAATTTCATGCATTACACATACATGTTTGTTTTTTAATTTTTTTTTTTATATTCTTAATCTATCTTTAAACCTTTTATCCTATTAAGAGAACATTACGTATCTAAACTATTTTAAATTTGTAACTTTCAAATAACAATTTCAATAATATACCAATTAATTCAAAAGATAATTAACTTATTTTTTAATATTTTATTTAAAAGAATATATAACATAATAAAGAAATATATATTTTAAACCCTTTAATTAGATTGCTTTTATTTTTTCTCTCCTAGCCACCAAGCTAGGTGTTTTTTTTTTACTTTTTTTTTTTGCAAATATGAAAAGAAAAAGTGTGAATGAAAATTTGTATATGGGGAAATCAGGGTTTTATGAACAAGGTTACAAACAAATTGCTTACTCTAAAATCTATTATGAGCAGCTAGCAGTTTTTGCAAGGATCCCTAAATGCTTTTTCTTGAATAGATTACATTTCTTTTCTTGTTTTTTGACCATATAAAACAAGAGCTTCTAGGTGCAGGTCAGACTTAAGATTAAGATTCCATGGTGTTTTTCGCCCTTCTTCTTTCACAAAGAGAGGATTATGATTTTTTGACCCCTTCTTCAATTTATTTTGTGACAAAATGAGGTTCGCCAACCAAATTTAATATTGGAATAAACAGATACTGTCATATTACATGCCATTAGGAGCGGAACTGCATACTAGTTATGGTACGGGTTTGGGTAAAGGAGACAGATATTGTCTTTGCAGTTTGCGTGGACAATTAGCTTTAGCGCCTCCTCCAATTGGGTCATTTAATTTTTATTTATTTATTATTATTGGCTGGCCAGGGTGAAAAATGAAAAAAATAGGAAATATTGTTAGACAAATATGCCTATGTTGGATCACAGCCAGCCATCCATGGTTTTCAATGGGCTACTCGTCAAAAATTAAGCCCACCAGCATCGTTCTTTCTTTTGGACGACTTCTTAACCCATTGAGGCCCATTTATTTTAATTGGGGTGTCATCATATGAGCCCAAAACTAGGCCCATGGCCAACTTCGCCCCACACAAGTCTTGGATGGATAAGGTAAAAAAGAAGCGCCACACACACCATGCTACAAAAAAAAAAAGACATGCAAAAATAAATATCAAATTCATTGCTTTGCTACACTATTCTATTATCTTGAAAAATATCTGAAATGGGCACCATCCACCTTAACACTCATAGCTTAACTACTCTCTCTGAACCTTGTAAATTCAACTTCACCAGCAGCTCCAACAAGGTCCTTACACTCTCCAGGCACTTCAGCTTCCCTAGAGGAAAAATCAGAGCTCTTAGCACCGTGCCGGAGAGCGAATCCGTGGCCAAGGAGCCTGATGAACCACCTGCAGTTGATTTTGCATTCGTTCATGTAAGTTAAAAATGGTGTATATATGCTTAATGCATACTAATGACTAATATGTAACAAAACATGAATTTCCCTTTAAATTTAATTTGCTTCTTCGTTTTTAGTCTGTTTTGCTTCCAGATGGTACCCCGGATGTACATTTTCGTAGGGCTTGTGGTGGGCAGAAACTTAGGGATATAATGCTGGACAATAACATTGAGTTGTATGGACCATATGTAAGTTCATGGTTGATATACAAAGTGATTGCACAATATATTTTTATGTATATATGGTAACTGTTAAAAGATGATTTTCCATTGATGTCGGTTTTCAGGCTAGACCTCTGCTAAACTGTGCAGGAGGAGGAACCTGTGGAACTTGTATGGTGGAGGTGAATTTATACTACCATGGAACCCATCTTGAAAGAAAACAATATTGTTTTAGAACATTAATTTGATTGTCAAGTGATGTCAATATAGGTAAGTTAGATTGATAAGTAAAAAAATCCTCTAGTCAAAAGGATTTAGTAACACCTAAATCCAATATCAGCTTAATTAAGATTCAGATATGATTGAACATTGTAGGAGTTCTATCCTATATATCACCTGCAAATAGTGTTCATAGCGTATTAATGTTCAAGGTGTCTTAATTGTTTTTTTTTTTTTTTTTTTTACAGAGGAGGTATGGGATAGGGAAAGGGATTGCCAATGTTGTGAATTGAACCACATATTTGCCGGATATAGAATAGTTGCGTAAATAAATTGGACAAAATATCCGACTTCAATTGGATGATTTTGTTTTTGCTCATTGGGAATAATTAAAATTGTAAGGTGATAAAAGGCATTGTGGTTGTAATTCTGTTTTCATTTTTTAAGATAAAGAATACCAATATGTGTTAGATTGGGTTAGTAATAAGAAATTATTCCTTGTTATATTCAGTTTTATATTTCAATTTTCAATTGTATTTCATTTTTATTATTAGGTTGTGGAAGGGAAGGAGCTACTCAACCCTCGTACAAACAAAGAGAAGGAAAAACTGAAGAGGGTATATTTTAGCTTATCATAAATTACTTCATTCCTCATTATTCTGCATTTCATTGTGCTGACATTGTGATTCCAAATTTCTAATTCCTGATAAAACTTAGCCTGCAAATAATTACACTTTGGTATAATTGGCCTGAAAATAAATCCAATTGCTCAAGTTTTCCAGGATAAAATGTTCTTTTAGGCTACATTAAGGATCCAGTCATAAAACACAGCCTCCGATGCAGTGGGAATACTCCGACAACTCTTCTAAATGGAACCGTAGGCTTTGGTTAGTAGGAAGGATGAAAAACTTGTTAATTCAATGGTCAAAATTCATAACTGCTTTCTGATTTTGTAGATTAATCATTAAATTAACAAGTTTTCCATGCTTTTAACTCTTTCTATCCTCTCTACAAAGCAAATCCTTTATCTCTCCTCTTGTCAAATTTGATTTATACAACCCTATGCCACCTGAAATCATGATATCAGAACTTGCATCAATTTTTAAGGATCAATATTTACCCTGTAATTATAGTAGTTAGATAAATACTACTAATAGCTAATATTAATGATGCTTATGGGTTATTTGCAGAAACCAAAAAACTGGAGACTGGCCTGTCAAACAACAGTTGGTAAACCAGATTCTAGGGGCATGGTTTGTAATCTTTCTCAAGCCTATTAGTTCCCAACAAATTAGAACAAGAAAGATGTGTCATTAACATATACGATAGGGATAAAATTAATTTCTCTATTCCTCATCCAATGCAGTTGGTGATTCAACAGCTGCCTGAGTGGAAAGCACATGAATGGACTTATGAAAAAATAGCACCTTCAGAAGAGCCTTAAAGCTGAGACCTTTTTTTGTCTACAATTATTGTACAAAAAATTTTTGAAACTTACTATGAAGTTCATGTTGACATAAGATATACCATTATGGTTAACCACACTGTGAACATTACTTGAAGAATATTGAAATTACCTGGTTGATTTATTGCAATATTCAATCTTATTCCGTAATTTGTTTGTAATAGTGTTAGGTGACACTGTTTTTTCATTAGTCTTTTTCTTTTTATGGTTCAGGGATAACACTGGCACTTCATTGAGGTCCACCATCAGCACATTTTGATTCAATTATTGCAAGGATGGATCAATAGTTAAGTACAAAAAACAGTAACAAAATTGTAAAAAAAAAAAAAAATGTGGCTACACATCACCAACTTCATCCATTTCCACATAGCAAGTTGACAACAACAAACTTTACAGCAATAACCCAAAACAAAAGAAAATGAAGCTACAAAGAAAGAAGAGCAAAAACTGTTATCCCTTCTGTTATTATAATGGCAAATGGCTTAAAAAGAGATGCAATTGAACTAGCTTAGAAGTCACTGGATAATGGTGCATGTTCAGAGTGCATGAACACATTTCCATAGATAAGTCCAGCCAGGCCACCACCAATTAGTGGCCCAACCCAGTAGATCCAGTTGTCGTGGAAGTCTCCACTGGCGACAGCTGGCCCAAAGGAGCGGGCTGGGTTCATGGATCCTCCAGAGAAGGGTCCAGCGGCCAAGATGTTGGCTCCAACAATGAAACCAATTGCAATGGGTGCAATAGTGCCAAGTGAACCCTTCTTGGGGTCAGCTGCAGTTGCATAGACAGTGTAAACCAAAGCAAATGTGATGATGATCTCCATCACTACTCCTTGAATGGCTCCAACTCCAGCTGCAACACTGTGAATGGGAATTGTCTGCGAAAGAAGTGACCAAAAGTTTGAAGTTTCCTTGACAATGGAGTCAAACAAAAAATTTGATGACCAACATACTAATTATGACTATATCAGAAAAAAATGTTGTGGAAGTAGACTACAAACATGGTGATTTTTCGTTCATTGGATGTAACTATTTCTTAATAGAGAAAAAAAAAAGTTATGCTATTTTATCAGATAGGAACAAGTCAATGAACTAAATTTATAAAAATAATGTTTGTGATTGGTTATGGAATTTAAGCATACCAAGCCTCCAGTTACAGCCTTGAGTAGGAAGCAAGCAACGATGGATCCAAGAAGTTGGGCAATCCAGTAAAAGATGCCAGTGAGAATGGTGATATGGCCACCAAGAGCCAACCCAAAGGTGACTGCTGGGTTGACATGGCCACCGGAAATGTTGGCACCAATGGCAACAGCAACAAAGAGAGCAAAACCATGGCAAATAGCAATTGCTACAAGGCCAACGGGATCGAGGGCAGCATCTGTTGTCAACTTGTCTGCAAAAAAAAAAAAAAAAGTTATACCAAAAAGAACAACTATTTGACCGATATGGTATTATCAGTACTCTTTGCTTCTAACTTTTCCATAGCAATTAAACTGTAATTTTTTATAGCAGCCCAAGTTAATGTAATGCTTAGTTGCATTCACAACTCTGCAGCCTTTTAATATTTCAAGTGTGGGAAGGGAACTAACTATAAGCTATGGCAGAGCCAACGCCTGCAAAAACAAAAAGCAAGGTTGAGATAAACTCAGCAAGATACGCCTTGAGAGAGCCTAAACTGAAGGAATCATCGAAGCGACCGAAGGCAATTCCAGCCATCTTTGGAAGAAGAGAGAGCCAGTAAAGGGGAACTTTCTTTGAAGAGAAGGGTAGAGACAATGTGTCAGATAGAGCACAGAGACCATTTTGTTGATCACATATAAATACTATGAGAAAACATAGAGAAATAGGAATAGAATAACATAAGGTTTTTTTAATATATTAATTAAACAGGTTCATGAGTTTCATATGTTTTACTATTGATGGATTATGTGTATTCGTTTTCATGATGAAGGGTATAAAATCATGGAAATGCATCCAAATTCCATGCATATCCAATCAGGTTATTTTCCCTTCTGTCCTAGCTGTCATTAACATGCTTTATTAGAAATGTCGGGGAGCTCATCAATGCAATGATTCTTCCATGTGAGTTGTGACCCAACCTCTCCTTTGTGTTTATCGGAGAGTTTGATGGGTCAACTGTGAAGAAAATAATGATAAAGAAAAAGGGAGGTGATCAGATCATGACTTGGTTTGGGCCACATTGTGCACCGACCGTGTTCAAGAAACGAGGTCGTGGGGCTGTGCCATTTAGAAAATGAGTGGACAAGATTAATTGGTGTTTACATTAAAGATTTGGTGATTTTCATCTGAATTATGAAGAAAATTAAGGGCGCCGGCTGAATTAAGATGGATAGGGAGGAATCTTAAGCAACTTTTTGGCTCACTTGTTGGTTTACTATGTAAAGTTTTCCGAAGGGAGGGGTTTAATTTAATAGTGTCTGAATTGATGTTTCTTTATAGCATGAGTGGTGCGTTTTGAATATCCATTCTTGTGATTCTTTTTGTCCTTCAGGGCAGGGGGCCAGGGTAGAAAAGGCGTGGAACCTGAAATCTCACAGTGATTGTCATTGCATAAAGCATAGCCTGGTAAAATAGTTAAATGACTGGCTAAATTGTACCTCTATAATAGGATGATCCCTTGCAGATTTCCACTTAAACTAGTTTTTATATCCGAATGTTGGGTAAATCCCATGATTTGAAACCAAGTAAAAAATTGTAACATAAACCCACTTGGCTAATATCGAGAAATTCAGATTTCTCATACGTTTTGTATGGAAATCCTGTTTTTCTTTGCATCAAAAACAATGACATTTGTAATAAAATTAAAAATAAAAGAGAGAGCGAATGACATTGGAAACATTTAAAAACAACATGCACTATCCCAAAATGTTTGTTGTAGAGCTGCATCTCAACATTGAGCTGATGAGTTATGATTTTAACATCTCTTTAAGCAACTCAAAGCCAAAACTTTTAGACCTTTAAAATGATTCTTCCAAGACGAAAATCTAGATACTTTGTAGAATTGGGATGTCAAACAAAATTCAAAGAATTTAGTACTGCAATAAGAATTAAGTCATGTTTAAGGTGCATTTGCTTGGACCGACATTTCAAGTGGGGGCACATAACTGATCACGCTATATCTACTTTCATTGCTGAAACTTGAGAGTGACTGGTAACGTAGCATTCATGTGTTTTCCTCGGCTGTGGGACCAAAAAATGAAAAATGCCTAGTCAGTACTCACATAGAAGACAACTAATTAATCCCCATATATTGATTTTATCTAAACTGCAAAATACCTTAATACTTTTTGCATCTTAGGTTCTTCTGTCGAAGTACTGAATTAGCATTTCAGCTGGTCTGAGTTTCTTCATTTCTTATGAGTTGTGACAAAAGCTTTGTTATGAAGAGATAAACCATACAATGATTGAATGACCCACAGCATTATTTTTTTTATTCTACATCACTGTTTTCCTTTATCAGACTTTGAACAAACAAAGCAATTGAATGGCTAGGCAATTGTATGTGTTTATGCAGCATGTGTCTGGTTTCTTCAATGGGGAAGAATGAAGACGGAGAATATCCCTATATAACTTTATTTTTAATTAGTAACAGGAAGAAGGAACGGTAGGAACTAGGAACCCCAAACCGATCCCCCAGAATTCTAACTTCATTGGCTTCAGCATGAATCGGCTCTGGTTACTATCAGACAAATGGGGCCTTTCTGTTGACCGCGAAATTCTCTGGACCCTGGAACAAATCTTAACACCCCCTTCTGAAGGGCTGTCACTGATGTTTTCAACTGTTAGGCTCATCAGGATGATCCATGGCCTCAAGTGTTCAGTATCATCCACATATGTAATTGAATAATGAGATAATTATTGTAGGAATATGCTAAAAGGAAATTACCATGCATTTTTACTCATTATCATTTTATCAATTAAAACACAACTCTCACCATTTCATGTTTGTTAAAGTTTTTCAAGCTATTTATGATGAATTCCTCAATAATTTGGTCATGTTTCTTTTTCTTTCAAGTTTCACTCCAATGCCCTAGAGAGTTTTGGGTTTGAAAGACCAGTCAGTCAACATATGACTGTGGACTTGTTGAAGATTTTGGGCTACATAAATTAATCCAGCACTAAAGCCCACACTAACCCAAAACAAACAAAGTAAAGTTCTTAGGTCTTAACTAATATTATTAGGTTATTAGCACCCGTAATCTCTAAACTTTGATCTAAATTTTATTTTTCAAACTTTAAAAAATTATAATTGGATTTTTAATTTTTTCAATTATTTTATTTTGATCATTTTGTCTATTGAACTATTTAAATTGTGGTTAAATGTCTGTTGGCATCAAGTAATGACGTCAGTTAACGTCTCATATGATAGATAAAAAATTAATATAGAATTCTATCAAAATTTAAGGATTAAAAATGAAACTATTTCAAAATTTTATATATTTCATACATATCTTATAAAAATATTAAATTTAAAATTATATTTGCATATTTTTTGTTATAATATAATTTACTTGGTAGATTTTTATTTTAAATAAAAAATAGATATTCAAAACTTAAAATTAAATTAAAATTTTAAAATTCATTTTTTAAAAATATAATACATTTTAAAAATAAAAAAAATATTAAAAATATTATTTTACTCATAAATCATAATAAAACATATTATTTTCTATCTAAAAAATTATTTTTTAAAATATTAAATATCTTTTATTTTTCTTTTTTAAATATATTTTATAAAACATGTTTCATAAAAAAGGAAAAATAAAAAATTTTTAAATTATATTTTTATTTTATATGAATATAAAATTCTTATATTTTTTAATAGATTAATAAATTTATTTTTGAAAATGATCTAAAAATTTTTATATAATATTTTAACATGATATAAAGTTTTTATCTAATTTCTTAAACTGATAAATAAATTTTAACTTAATTTTTAAAATGATATGCAATTTTAACAAAATTATTTTAAAATTTTCAACTAAATTTTAATTTTATAAAAATCTATTTTCTATTAAAATATTATTTTATTGATAAATCATATCATAATAAAAATTAAAAAATATTTTCAATTATAATATTTTATTATTTTAAAAAAATAATTTGAATTTTTAACTTAATTTTAATTTTAAAAAACTTAACTTCTATTAAAAATATAACTATTAAATTATATTACAACAAAAAATATAAAAATATAATTTTAAATTTATCATTTTATAAAACATGTATGAAATATATAAAACTTTAAGGTAATCTTGTCTTTGGTCCCTAAATTTTGAAGGAATTTTATTTTGGCCCTTTATGTGTAACATGAGGTGTTAGTTGATGTTATCACATGGTATCAA